AATCTCAGAATTTCTCTTGTTGAAATACATGAATGAAAATCTGACACATGAGTCAAAACATATTAACAAACAATAAGGACGATACCCAGCTGAAGCTGTGTCCATTTCAACAACTTATATTACATACACACACAATTATTAATTTATCATTTCACGAAACAAAGATACACATACATACTCAGAAATATAATAGAATGAAGAAATTAAAATTTATGGTTCTGCACACACTTTGCAAAGGAATTTTCGCAATAAACATGCTCGAACTTGCATAGGAAAACGCCTGACATGTTCAGTAAACTCGAAAACTGAATGAAAACAATGTTGCAGAAGAAAATATTAAATTTTTTTCTTGAATGGAATTGAATTAAGAGTCTTGAATTCTGGTGGTAATATATTATGAAGATCGAAGTCCAAAGAATTCTTCTCGGAAACAGAAAGCCGGTACTTTGGTAACCTAAAGAAATTTGCTTGTCTTGTAATGTAGCTATGTATTTGAGATTATCTAGTCAACCTACTTAATTTTTTATGTATTCCTCTCAGAAAATGCTCGATATATATCGACGGAAGCAGTAGTATTCTGAATTCATCGAAGAGAGGGCGACAGAGTTCTCTGAAACCACAATTTGCCAAAATTCTCAGAGATTTTTTTTGTTGTCGAAAAATTTCTACAGATTTTGAGGGGTCGTCCCAAATAACAACGTCAAAAGTTATATGCGCATGGAATAATGCAAAATACGTACTTTTCAGAGCTTTTGTATTCGAGCTGACGTAGTATGAACAAAGTGCCCGATAGTTTTTGCTACAGTTGCTCGATATAATGGTTCCAGTTCAGTCTGTTATCAATTGTCAAACTCAGCAGCTAAGTACAATTGTTATCGAGTACAGAAGCGTTAGTCAAAAAATGTATACTTTGGGTTTCATTATCATTCAGCTGTAATATGTTTACTTGGTACCAGTGCTTTGCTTTTTCTTGAATATCTAGAAAGAGAATTTCTAATTGTATAAGGTCATTGTGAGAAGAAATCAACGTTGTATCGTCAGCAGAAAGATAACACTTACTGGGCAATAGGAATTGATGTAGATCGTTTATATATATTATGAAAAGAAGAGGGCCAAGTATCGAACCTTGGCACTTTATTAAATATATATTTCATTTCTGATGTAACATTTTTTAATTCTACAACTTGGAAACGATTCTTCAGATATGAATCTATGAGACATATGGATACCTCCCTTACCCCATAATCCAATTTTTCAAGAAGAATTCCATGAGAAACCAAGTCGAGAGTCTTGGACAGGTCGCACAACAACACAGATGTGTGAAGGCCTCGACAATGTCACTCACAACATTCATCACTGCTCGAGATGTTGAACAGTCTTTTCAAAAACCATATTGTGACTAATGGAAAAATCCATTCAATTCGAAGTAATTAGCCAGTCTTGTCTCAATCAATTTTTCCAAAATTTTGGAAAAAATGCAAATTATAGAAATTGGTCTATAGTTGTCCACCAAAGTTATGTCACTTTTTTATGAAGGGGTATACCATTGGTGTATTTCAATACATCAGGAAAAGCACCTGTCGAAGAGATGAAATCAATGAATTCTGTTAATGATAGCAAGATAATGTCAATGGCATTTTTCACGATCTTACTTTTCAAACTATACACGTCCTTGCAATTCAAGTTTTTCAAGGATTTAACGGTGTCAAGAACTTCCTCATGGGTTACTGTGGCGAAAAAAAAATTACTTGTTAGGAGTTGGAAACCTTTTGATGTTCGATAACTCACTGTTTGTTATTACTAAAATTGTTCTAAAATTGTGGAAGGAAGCGATAATATTCTCTGCAATTTTTATCAAAAAAGTCATTGAACTCATCTGGGGTTATATTGTCAATGGGTTGTTCCAAATCATTTTCATTCCTGTCATAATTGACAATCCTCCAACAAGCTTTGGATTCATTATCAGAGGAAGCAATTGACTTGTCATTCGCTGCTTTTTTTGCATGCTTCGACTGTGTTCTATAGAATGTCTAAAGATTTTTGTAGGTTTTCTCGTATTTTCATTATTAATGATATTGCAACAATATTTTACCTCAGTGAGCTTCCCTTCCATATTCCTGAGGGAATCGTTATACCAAGTAACCAGGGATTTTTTATTTTCGGAGCATTTTCTAAGTGTAAAGAAGTCATTTACGTTTTTTGCGTAGACATCAATGAGCAGAGTTGATAAGTAATTGACATCACAGTTCTCATAGAGAATATTCCAATTGAAATTTTCTAGGTTTTTTTCCAGTTTCGTAATTCCTCGATGTGTTACACATCTCTGATATGCAATACGAGAAGTTTCTCATTTTGTCCTGAAATACACAAAATATTGACCAGAGTGGTTCGACAAACAGGGTTCTATGACACCAGATTCATAAAATTGTGGATCTATAATTGTAAGAACATTGTCAATACAGTTTGAGGAGTGGGACGTGATCCTGGTATGTTTAGTTATGGTTATTTCCATCCCAGAAGGAATCAAGAGACTACGTTACTCTTGTAAGTCTCTGTTTTTATCATTCGAAATGTGGAAGTTACCCAGAATGACAACTTTTTTGTCCGTTGATGACAAGTCGTGTAACATACGATCTAGGTCAGAGAGAAATATGTCTTTATTTCCCATTGGTGGTCTATATAGTGAGATAATTGAATTTTTTTTGTTTAATGATTCAACTGCACAAAATTCCAAATCGGTTTCATTGTTATAAATGTCCATATTTAGAACTTCTAAGTTTAAACCGACTTTCAAAAATATAGCACCACCGTGTCTGGTTTCTCTCCTGCAGAAACAAGATGCAAGGGACAACCCAGGCATGTTGAGAGATATCGAATTAGATTCTGTTTGCCAGGGCTCTGAGAAACAAGCTACATTGAAATTATTCTCCAATACGAATATTTCCAACTGCTGAAGTTTGTTGGATAAACACTGAATGTCAATTCGAAACATAATCGCCATGTTTTCGGACTTTGAATCAATGGTACAATTCGTATCTCACGATCATACTCGATGTTAACTGTGATTATACTTATAATATTCGTTCTAAAAAAATACAAATTCATACATCGTTCATTTATCTGAAAGCGAATTGTTCGATCGATAATAGATAACATATAAAATCATCATCAATAAGCGCGTATACCCATACTTGTGGATTCTCTCGAGTGTGCAGTCAAAGTGGAACAACAAAGTGCACCTACTTTTTTATTGTTTCTGTTGAAGCTCTCGGGTCTCCATTGGCTCTCGATCAGGAACTTTACACAGCATTATGAATTGAATGTGAACAATCCTCCTGACTAATGGAACAACTACGGAAATGTTCTTGTCATTGCTCAAATTATCAAATCTTTCCTCTCATCTTACTGTACTTGACTATTGCAGAAAAAACTTCGAGCTCGCAGTCACAATTCATTCTGAGACAACCTCAAATATCGTTCTCTAGAATATTCTCTGGATCTTGAGAAATATTCACATTATCTAGTGAATATTTCATGATTCCTGAATATTTTATCTCATGATCATTTTATTTAGTTAGTCCAGTTTCATATGCAGTTCAGTGCCTTCAAGCTGTAACACCATTATTTCGAAAATTTTATGAACTTTCCTCAATCGACTTATAGATGATGAAAAAGTTGGCACGATAATTTGATTGCTGCCATGTATATTTCATAAAATCGAATATGTGATTTTCCTATACTTTTCATTTCATATTGCCAGTATCCTTGATTGTGTATCAAAATGAGATTACATCTATTCATCTGATATGAATGTTATTGAACGTCAAACACAATAATACAATAACTTTGATAAGATGATAAAATCAAGAACATCACCGTCATGATATTGGTGAACGTCAGTTTCAGTAGTTGCGCTGCGACCCAGACAGCACAGAATATTCTTTAGATATTCTGACATCGTTGAAATATACCCAATTCAGAATACTCTGACAGAATATTCTCAGAATGAGCATAGAATATCCTCATACTGCAACGAATTTTCTATGAACATTCAATTCGATATATTCTGATAATAGTGTTCTAGAATATTCTGAGAATATTCTTCTCGAATTTTCTGAGAATATTAGGAAGCATATCGAGATATATGATATTGATGATCCTATTCCTGAATCTCTATTCATAATGTTCACATCATCTAGCTTCAATGCTGATTATCCCACTAACTCATCTTTGTCATTCTGATATTCATTTAATTCATCAATAGAGTCCGTGGCAAAGTGATAACGTTTCAGGTCAGATCTGAGGAAGTTGAACAATCAAACCCACGATACAACACGCATCAACATCATCGAAAGCGCCCACTTATAACAAGCTAAAACCGTCGACCTCCCCCTTCTCCCTAACTCCGAGATACGGAACCAGGGAACCAGAGGAGATGTCAGCACTCCCGGCCATATTTCGAAGCTACTATTGGGACGATGAAGCCACTCACGACCAAATAGTAGCAGAGAAACTACAAGCTGAAGAAGACAAATTATTGAACCATGTGGCCAAAATTAACACAGAGAGAATGGACACTTCATCTTCACCGAGAAGGTTGGAGAAAAGGCCCAGGGAACAGTTTGGAGCCCCTGCTGATCAGGAGTAAGAAATCGAAGAACCAGGAGAACGATGCTGGCCGCAAAATCCCAAGGAAGACCACGAAATGGACGGGGGTCTTCCAGAAAAGAACGGATGCCTCGGTGCAAAATAGATCTGCGGCTCTTCAGTCCACCGAAGAGCCAATATCTAATAAACTACCACCATCTCCTTTCTCGTTCGACCCACCATCGTCAGACGAAGACGAGGCTCCTGAAAGCCGAACACAGAAAAAAGCTGCGCCAACTAATTATAAGGCTAAAAATGCGAATTCCCAGCCATCGCTTACAAAGAAAACTGAAAAACCCCTGCCCATCATTTTTGATGGCATTCTAAGGGATGAAAGGGGAATTATCCCTCTCATGAAATCCCTCATCTCGAGAGAATTCTACTTTGAATACGGCAACGAAAGCACCCTTCTCTTCACTGAGACAATCGGAGATTTCGAAAGTGTCAAGAACAAGCTCAAAGAAGACGAGGTAGCCTTCCCTACTCACGCCCTCAGGAAGAACAAAACACACGCATTCGTGCTGAGGAGCCTGGACTTTCAGCCTGAGCCCTCCGAGATCATTGGAGAAATGGAACAAGAGCACAAAATAAAGGTCAAGGTGGTCTACAGGCTCAACACGCGGTATAGGCCTCTCTATCTGGTCGTAGTTGACCCAATTGTTACTCTTCGGCTGTTAAGTGATAGAGTGAGGACACTATTGTCAGTCAGGATCACTTGGGGGCTGAGGAAGAAAAATTTGGCAGTCACTCAGTGTAAACGCTGTCAGCTGTGGGGCCACGCCACCAGCAACTGTAATAGAGATTACAAATGTTTGAAATGTGCAGGTGGACACCCCACGGCTGACTGCAAATTACCCAACCAGGAGCCAGCGGAATGCGCGAACTGTGGTGAACTAGATTTGGCCAACTACAGTTCGTGCATAAGCTACATAAAGGGGCTGGAAGTTATCAACAAGAACAAAATCAAACAGCCAGGTGGACAGACCTATATCGCAGTTCTGCCCCCCAGCACGGATGTGTGAGAGAGAAGAAGAATGGAAAGAGAGGCCAGGCAAGAAAAACGTCAACAGGAGGATACTATTGGTACCCTGGAGCAGAATAGAGAGGCCAGGCAGTCCATTAGAAGAGGAGCACCATCAGGCCCCACCACGAGCTCGCAGAGGGGACCTAGGGTTGGCAGAGGAATATATCGATAACGAGTATCGCCGCAGAGACAAAGCTTTTAGAGCGAAAGGTGAATCTTTTTGAGGTGTTCAGATGCGTGCGGGACCTGAACGACGTGATCGAAGGGGAATGGTACGAATCTGCCTCAAGGTATGCATGATCAACATTAATGGCCTCGATAACAAGATGCCGTCACTTGTCGATTTTATATACCGCCGCAGGTTGGACATTATACTTTTGTCCGAGACCAAGCTCCGTCATGACCATGACCTCAGAGTAAGAGGCTTCACCACGATCAGGGTCGATCGGCCTAATACAGATAGATGAGAAGGGGGTTGCTATTCTGATTAAGAACAATATCCCCCACACCGTGGTCCCACCAAGGCAAACCTCAATCGAGCATGCTGGGGTGAGATTGCGGAGTGGGGAGATTATTTTCTCAGCGTACAACAGGCCCAGAAATAAGCTCACCGAACAAGACCTGGAGGCACTGGTTAGTGCTGGCAATAACGTGATAATCGGGGGCGATTTCAATGCGCGACATGCGGACTGCGGGAACCAGGTCAAGAATAACTACAACGAGTGCACGATGATGGCTTATCTGCTAGCCGCCAATGTCGACCTAGATTTACCTAATACTCCCACGCACTATTTCATCAATGTGATGACACCGATAGTCCTAGACATAGTGCTATCCGAGAACCTGGTGGACATCTTTGAGCTATAGGTTGTGGACGAGCTGAGCTCTGACCATCTGCCAGTTTCGTTCGAATTTGGACAAAAACCTCCGGAAATGATAAAGAAGATATTTGATCATAAGAACACAAACTGGCGGATATTTAGAGCTCAGCTAGAACAAAGAACTACGATTAAAAATGATATCCAGAAAGCAGAAATGAATCAAGAGATGGAAAAGCTTGTTCAGAACATCACGATGGCCAGAGATGCCACCACGCGACTGGTCAGCATTGACTACAACAAGAACTAACTCCCGGAGGAAGTTCTCGAACTCATAGCAGGAAAGAAGGTCCTGATGCGTCGCTGGCAACGGCTCACAACCCCAGAAGCCAGAGGCGCCTTCAAGAGGATAGCCAAGTTGGACAGTCTGGACCCTCGCGATGATACTCTATGGAAAGTGACGAACAGGTTGAAAAAGAAATTTACACTTATACCTACCCTGAAGTACGGTCGCGAGGGTGCGGTTTCAGATCTGGAGAAGGCGATAGTACTTGGGAAACTCTTTCATAAAATATCGAAAATTGATAAAATGCCAACAGGTGCGGTCTAGGAGGACATGCTGGCGACAGCAGAGCAGATAAGATCATCGCCGGACATCCTGCCTCCGCGAAAAGCCCTGGGGAGAAGAATCACATCGCCAAAAGAAATCAGTGAAATTAGATACTTGAATATTAACAAAGCTCCAGGGCTTGATGGACTTGACATGGTTCTCCTCAAAAACATGTCGCGCAAAGCGATAGTTCAGTTGCATTATATCATTAACGCGATCATCAAATGCCAGCACTACCAAGAATGCCTCAAGACTGGGCTTGTTGTACCAATCCCAAAACACGGTAAGAACCCCCACCAATGGCTACCGCCCCATATCACTGCTCAGCGCCGTGACCAAGATCGTAGATAGAGTTCTCTTACGACTCATTACACACCACACTGAAAAGCTGGACCTCATACCTATGTAACAGTTCGGGTTCCGAAAGGGGCACAGCACAGTGTCCCGAGTGGCCCGAACTGTTCACGAGGTTAAAGAGGCCAGCTACAACAACAAGAACACTGTCATGGTCATGATGGACGTAGAAAAGGCATTCGACACCGTCTTGCACGAGGGTCTTATGTCCAAACTGCATAAGGCTAGAATGCCGATTTTCATCATCAAGATTATCGATGCATATATCACTAATAGGAAAATCCGGGTCAAGGTCAACGGAAGTATATCAGAAGATTTTCCACTCAAGGCAGGAGTCGTGCCTCTCACCTCTGTTGTATACACTTCACACGCATGATTTCCCTGTATTCGAGCGGACGAGTACAGCATTGTACGCCGACGACAAGGCGATATATTCTAACTCTGACGACTCGAATATTGCCAGGGCATAGATCCAGATCCATCTGGACAGGGTAATCATACTGTACTTTGACGAGTCGAAGATCTGCATAAATAGTGAGAAAACTGAAGTCATAAACTTCCATAGAGAAGTAAACAATTCCAGACTGAGCAGACCTTTGACCGTCAAAGGAGTTGAGGTGGCAGACGTGGAATACCTGGGAGTGAAATTGGACATCCGTATGAGTCTGAGGAAAAAAACAAACTATCTCATTCAAAAACACAGAATGCAATGAAAAAGGCGTATCCTTTGATATCCAGGACCTCCTCTCTCGCAGGAGAATGAGGTCCTGATATACAATCAGATCATCAGTCCAGTGATGATGTACGCGTGTCCAGTATTCTGCAGCATCTCACCTACTGATATGAATAGGTAACAGGTGCTGCAGAACGAAGTAATTCGTATCATCACCAACGGTGATAGATTCTCTCGAGTGGAAGATCTCCACGGAAGATGTGATAATTTGTCGAGAATCAATGGAGATCTCCAATAGATTCTACTAATACCACATCGCTGAAAGTGACCTCACCTGGAATATAACAACACTCAGACAACATCATAACATCCATAAAAGATTCGGACTGATATATGCATCAACCGATGTTTTTAGGGAGCCTGACAATCTATAGTCAGGAACCCTCACGGGTGCTCGGACATGTCCGAGCCACCGACGAGAATCTAGACAGCACTATCTCCCAAGCACGATAATAACAAAGTGTCAATGGATGACACTGAACTCGGGCAGAAGTGCCCATGTGGAAAAATATGCGCACAAATGCTCGAAACAAACAAGAAGGAGGTTTTTTATTTCTTATCATTTTAGTTTTCCTCCACCGTCTGAGGAACCCTTTACACTCTGATCGCGCACGAGCAGCTCCCCCACCCTATGGGTATCACCAGCGAGATTACCTGTATAAAGGGCCCTCTCATATTCCTTGGCTAACACCAGTCACCTCTGCGTCAGTGGAGGGACGTTCAGGCATACTCTCAGCTATGCCAAACCCATCATACTCAAATATGTTGTAGAAATATGTGTAGTATTGCGAAAATCTTTGGTGATGAATAAATGAATTTAAAACAGGTCCGTAAGAAGTCAATCACAAGATAGTTGGTTCGCATCTCCACCAGAGCAGGCTTTTTCGATTTTTTTTCTTCCCCTTCAATATACTAGGATTATCCCCAGAATATTGGAAACAGTTCATTCCGAATGTTCATAGAACGTGCCTAGAATATTTGTATCATATTGTGAGGATATTCTGAGAATATTGGGTTTTTTATATCATATTCTATGAACGTTCTATGAATGACATTGTGCTATCTATGGACATTGTAGTAAGATAGCGAAAATATCTGAAGTAGAATCAGACATAACATTGAAATACTGCTGAAATATTCTCGAGATATTACTTTGCTCGGCGGGTTATAGTATCACTACTGATAACATCATAGTCGATGTGAATTTCATCACCAATAAGCTATTTTTGTGAAGAAATTATTGTTTGTATTCCTTCTAGATTCAACATCACTGACATCTCATGTTTTATAACTCGTCGACCGACTATTGATAGTAGAGAAAATTTGATGTAATGACTCATTCAATAATTCACCGTTCAGTAAGATGACAGTAACTGACAGATTATTCAGCATGTGTCAGTTTTTCAACTTTCAGTTCTCTGAATTTCTGACAAATATCAACACAATCAACGATGTTCTCGATGAACTGAGCTACAAAATGTTGGAATTTGCAATTCCATGTGATGTCAGGGGATATACGTTTTAAATATGCATGCCTTCAACAAACATGTGCGATGGGGATTGAATACTCCTTGTCTCTATTTATCATCATCTGTGAGGCAGCTTTTTGTTACGTTCTCTATATTCTTGAAACAGAGATGCTTTGTTGAACAAATTTTATTTTCACAGGCGTACCTACTCTAGATCAAATTCCTGTGAAATATTCTGTAAGATTGCGTTGAGACTATTCGATTTTTTTATTGTTATTTTTTCAATTTTAGATTCGTTGAAGAAATTGATTCATCCTTGAAATGGTACTTCCTTGTAGAGGTTTTGGTGAAATCTTATCACATCACATTGTCGCTTATCAACGTAAGTTTGATATTAGCAGAGATTACCGAATCTGACTTTTCTTTCGATTTTCAGGTGATTAACGCAACCAGAGAAGACATATATTTTTACTTCACCTTCCTAATAGTCTTGCTCAGCCAAGTTTTCATGTATTATTATAATGCCAATGAGCTATCAATAGCAGTGAGTATATAGCTAGTTACCCTAAACATGCAGTAGCTTTTTCACTGATGTATTCCATTTTCATCAGGTGAGCAGGCCCTGCAAATATGGATCGATAAAATAGTCGTGAGTTAAGCTTGCGTGATGATAGAGAGTATATTTCCTGTATAAATCTGTCTTAAACGTCCTTCGACTAAAAATTCAATGATCTATGGAAAAATGTATCGTCCAGTGAGCCAGAGGTCCGAGGTTCGCAGACTTTAATAATAACTGGCGGTAGTAGTAGTATTAATAGTAGTAGTAATAGTAGTAGGGGTCCATCCTCGATGTGGATCCAGTTGTTACTAATAGTCAAACACTCATTTATATCGCGAAATATATTTTTCCAAATCATGAATTAGACTATTAGACAAACTTATCCCGAACACATCATAAGAAAAAGAAATTATCACCTTCAGGAAAATGAAATAATCAGTTTCACGAAAAGCTTAAGGCATTGTTGGAAAGAGCAGGTCAGAATTAGTACTGAGAGTAATGAGTAGTAAGAGCAATCATTTGGATCCAAAGCATGCCCTCGAGGATTTGAAGGATGCAGGAAGCATTATTAAGGGCCATCCTGCTCGCCGGTTTCTCATGTTCCTCCATGGGATTGTCAAGTTCATGTGCTGAGTGGTGTGCTTTGAATCATCAGTGTGAATCACCATATGTATCAACCAGCTGCATGCATAAGATCAGGCAACTCTAAAATTTTTCACAAAAACATCTAAATAATCAGTAGTGACCGATTCATTCCTTATTCTCACCGCATAACCTCAAGTGAATATATCTCATCACCATGAATATCATACTACTCATATAATATTTCCCAATGTGAGCGTCAGCATAGTACCATATGAAACCGTATTCTCGTTATAAATCTTCAGGTCAGATAATATATTATATTATTTCCTCACACACATATAATCCAGTATTTATTTCACAATTCACAATGGGCTCATATCACAAAAAAAATGTATTTCATAATTCGATAGAACTCACCCAAACTAGCTCACCACCGCAAACCGTTTCTTGCTGTGCGCTTCCTACGTTTTATAAAAAATTATTGAAATCCCCGATTTTATGGACCTCTGAAAACGAGGCGATGATGTGACGTCAAAACCCTAATACTGATACAAGACTATTCCAGGCAGAGATGAATGATACATGATTCCTGACAGAGTGAATAAGCGTGATATCACCTTTGAAATAATCAATATATCAGTTGCCTCAGTCTCCGTCGGGCGTTTGGTATTTTCTTTCAACTATTGCGAAATGAGGTTTCTACGTCATAAGAGGGTCCGTTTCCAGAAGATACTATTACTTATGCCCAAAAATAAAATATTCCAGTTAATTTTTCGATCGAATTATGTCGTCAATCATTATTTATGTATAAAAGGATCATTATGAACATGGTTTGAGTTGAAAGTTCTACTAAGGTGTACACGCCTATTATCTCACTTCATATTGGTTGCTCCCCTTACCTCACTAGAGTGACTCTGTGCCTACACTCTCCAGTAACTCCCTATATCTCTGGATCTAACTACCAAAGGGGTTGAAGATAATTACGGGGGCCGCACGAGGTGAGAAAACACTTTTACATAAAATAAGTACTAACATTGCCAATACCATTGCCGCTCTGGTGGATGAAGAGTTGTGCCTCGCCATAGCTCTAGGGTTGTTCTTGAGTCTGCTATCAGGGTGAAAAAACTACCGGCGCGGATGACCGTACTCGGATTCACGTACTATTTGTTCTGTCCCGTAAAATCAATACTCATAATGTTTTATAGTCCATACTTGCCAACTTAGCAGAATCAGCAATAATCATATCGATTGAGTTCATTACCTCATGGGTGAACTTTCGAGTTCTATGAATTATGCCCGGGAGCTTTCGCAGTTCCAGTCTGTGGAATATGAGCTGGGTTTGAATCAGTTGTAGAAATGTGAATGACTCTGATAAGAATTATATACTGAAGAATTATATCTTCTCTGGTGGATATATCTTTATGAGTTCAATGAATTATCCGTTCTATATACCAGGTGTGACAATATCAACTTATCACTCCTCAAAAAAAGTTTGAAAACAATCTTCATTCAGATTCATTTGGTTAGACAGCCAACCAGATGAATGTTTGAACAATGTTGTTGTGAGGTGACCTCTGATACTGATCTTTCCATTTTTCAAATGGATGTGTATCTATTATTCCACAAATATAAGAATTCTAACGTATTTTCCGCAACAACAATGTCCAACTCAGGGTAGTTTCGACAACAATTCGATCCTCTCGAAGATTTAGTTCTGAAATGAACCAACCTATCTCCACAGTAGTGCGGAAATACCCTACAAGGAAGGTGTGTAGACATCGTAGCCCTCTCCACACCTAACTGTGAAGAAAGTCTCCACAGGAGAATTCCTAAACAACTCACTCCTGTAGAATTCCCTATCTTCCCAAACTCAATTCTTGAGCTGCTAAGTTTTCGTCATACTCACCAAGGATAACATGGTGGCGTTGCGTCGATAACAAGTGGTAGCTACGACGTAGTACTGAGATGTACCCAGACTCAGCGACATAGGTACTCATTCTCACCATGCAGGAGCTCTTCTTTCTTGCAAATTGTTAGGAAGGAAAAGGGATCTTCTTTCGGATAAGGAGCATTGCACTCACCGGGAAGGACGATAAACGCCCCAAGTTCACCTGCATGACACACGGCTAACGTCGAGAGTTAAGGCAGGATAGCTCGATGGGGACTTGAAAGCCTTCAACTTTGACAGGTCTAGGAAACAGTGAACCAACTCCTTGTGATTGAAACCACGCTAACGTGGAGTTTTCTTTTTCTTTTTTCTTTCCAATACGTAAAAATGGCCGACTACGCGCATCATCTACTTATTTTTATTATCGTGGAGTCTGGAGTTGGTTTGATGGACACTTAGCAGCTTCAGGATTGAGTCAAGCTATCATTGAGAAGGATAGGAAAGTTGGCAGGGGTGAGTTGTTGTGAACTTTTCCTGCGAAGTGTCATAATGCACGTCACAGTTGACTGTGAAGTGAGTCGCGGTGTTCTCACCTCTCTCGTAGGATATTTTCGCACCAGATCAAAAATAGTTCGGTTTATTCCGAGACAAATTCATTGAAAGAAACGGATTGCTGTTGAAATCACCCTGACTACGACTTTGTAGTCGTGGAAAATACCCAGTATGAATCTCTATCGAATGAACAAACAATGACAGCCTACCTAAGAAACAAATTCTAACTAACGCATAGGGATAATATGATTTTGTTGATCAGATACGTAAAAATAGAGGTAATAAGTAGGTTCAGAATTCATGAGTTAACTACTGTGCATAATGTTTGCATCACGTTACAGCATATGTTATATCACTTCTATGTCGTTCTAGTTATAATATTGTTACATCAATGGTTAGTCAATGTGACGTCAGGATCTAGATGACATCCATCTCTCAATTATATAATTGAGAGATACCTATTATACTTTCGTGAATATGAATGGACAGAATAACCAGATTCATTGAACAGAGATTATATCATGAGACGTGAAAGTTTTTCAATTACAGTATCATGTTAGAGGTTGAGTCTGCCATTTTTATATTCCCTCTTTGGTCATACTAGCTGATGAAATACACGAACTACTTATTCGTTCAAGCAAGATGCTGTCAAGCATCTTTTGGAATTATCAGGCATTTGATCTTCTTGTCACACTGCAGCCTATGGATTTTACATTGATGATCTGAAAAAATGACATCGAGCAAGAATTTAATCAAATGGCTCGAAATCTCTTCAACATGTTTCCTTGGCTAATACCTGTTGTGTAGGTGACAAAATATACTTACAGTATTTATTTATCCTGTATGAAGAAATATGATTGAGTTTGGGTAGTTACCAACCATATTGATTAGTTTCGATGTTTTTATGTAATATGTAACACAGATAATATTAGAGTATGTTATAAAATCATGAAGAAGTGTTCATTTAAGGAGCAGAACTGGAACATGGTGTCAGAATTATAGGAAAGAACCTGATAAGAGATGAGAGAAAAACGAAATTGAAAGAAATGGTTGGTTGTTTGAAATAATAATCTAGAAAAAGTGACAGAATTTGACGTGTGAAATGGGATACAAGTCTCCGCAGCCATTCGATATAAATGAACCAAGCTCTTGGTTGAAATGGAAACAAAAATTCACCATTTTCATGAAAGCCTCTGGTGAATATTCGTCCAAAGAAGATGTCAAGATTGCCGTACTGCTACATCTCAATGAAGACAATGGTCTAGGTATATTCAATACATTTCCTGAAGTTGAAACTGAAACTCCAGATGAGGTGCTCGCCTGTTTCGAAAAATATTTTTTGCCGAAAAGATTAACAAAATATTGATTTATTCATCACAGGATTGAGAAAGTAAGCTACTAGTTGTGTATTGAGATGAAGTTATATTTGGAATGAAAGACAAACAAATCCAACAACGATTGATACGAGAAATGCATATGAATTTGCAAGATATCGAAGAATATTGCGGATCACTAGAATTATCAGAGCAACACTTGAAATTGTGGCTCCGGAAGGAGAAATTCTCGAAGTCAGAACTACACGTAGATGCAAGAAATGTGGTACTGATCACGGATGGAAAAAATGTTAGAAGGAATCATTTTGCAACCATGAGTTTCCTCAAGAGAGATCATAAAGTGAGGCAAAGCGATGATAAAAATGATGAAGAAGAAGCAACAGAAAATGGAGGCATAAGCAGAAAATTCACGAGGAATGGAGAAGTATCTGGGAATTGGAGAGGAGATATGATAGAATGTGGGCGTCGCCCTAGCTTCTCAGGTAAGGCTCTAGCCGTTCGATATCTGAAGTGAAGCAGTGTCGAGCGCGGTTAGTACTTGGATGGGTGACCATTCGAGGCAACGCCGCGTAAGCCCGTACCTCTGTAGCAGAATAGCATATCATTGCTACAGCTACCATATCAAT